AAAAAGTGTTACACCAAACATAAAAATCCAACAACAAGCATAACATTTCACAGACGTTCGTATCCATGCCATACACTTCTAACTTATTTTCATTATTGAAATTACGAAGATCAATATTTTGAAATCTTACTTATTTTTATTATTAAAATTATGAAGATCAATAATGTGGAAAGTAATATTGACATAGAGTAAACACTCCACGCTACATAAAAATATAATAATATCAAATGAAATATGATAATAGTTAGAATAAATTAATAAAATAAGTGATTAAATATAATATTTGTATATTATGATTGGAATCAAGTATAGCTACATCGTTTTACTATTATAATCTTTTGTTATTACCATTAAAAAAATTGGGCCGTAATTAAGTTATTAATTAAATTACTCGATATGGCAATATCTAGGAACATTTGGTTATTATATATAGGAATCTGATAAATTTCATAATGAAGGAAGAGTTTATGTGTTACTTGTTAACACATATGTGTACGTATTTGCTTGGTATTGCATGAAATTGCCACAAAAAAAATGTATTGAAATTAATGATCTTGAACTTGATAAATGACCATAAATAAAATGAAACAAAGTCGAGACACGCTCTCGTAAGATGAAATATTGATATATGATCCACCGATTAATTTGTCTCTGCTAGCGACTTTCATGTTATATATATATACTGTGGCACTTAAAATTAAATAGAGAAAAATTTTAACAAATCTACTTGTCTTTGTACCTCAAGAAACAAACAAAAGCACAAAATTAAATACACAAAGGTTTTTAGTTTTAGGCTTAATTGCACATAAAATTCTCATTTTGTGTGTAATTGTAAATAAAACTCAATATTTTAATATTTGCAGATAAATACCAAACTTTTATTATGTGTTGTAAATTTGTCTCAAAACTATTTTTCGGTCAATCCTTGTTGGCGTGTCCGATCAGAAATTTTACGTGACACTTGTGAGGCTTGTGTGACATCAATCTTTGAAACTTCTCACCATGTTCTGGCCACATCATATGCCCACAAATTAACCAAAATTAGAATTTATTACCAATTAAAAATTAGAATTTTATTATCATGTTTTTTGCTCCATAATCTTCATAAAAATTGAGCTCTTCCCCCCAATTGAAAAAAAAAAATATATATATTTGCAGCGATTCTTCTCTTCAACATGGCGCGATTCTTCACTCCCAAAAATCGAGTTCACCTTTAACATTCCGAATACATTTACGAGGTCACCCCCAAATTCTGAAACATTGGGCAGATGGAGCGATTTTCGAGTGATTTTTAGGTGATTTTAGTGTTTTGATTGAATGCGCCAACAAGATTGGCCGGAAAATGGTTTTGAGACAAATTTGCAACACATAATAAAGGTCTGGTATTTATTGGCAAAAATAAAAAAAAAAAAAATTGAATTTTATTTGCAATTACACAAAAGGTAATGATTTTATGTGTAATTACGCCTTAGTTTTATTCCTTAAATCTCGCCATTTTTTCATTGAATGTTTATATGAGTGTTTCAAAATGTTTGCAACAGCCCAATTATTTCTAACTTTGATTCCCATGTTCCTTTCCTTAAACAATATTCTATATCCTAACATGAGAAACTAAAATGACTCATGACTATGAGTGGTTATTGAATTGGATACAAATAATAGATAGCATACTGAATTATAACACCTTTAATCAACTAATTCACATATAAATAATATATATATATATATATATATGATATATAAAAACTAATAAATTTTAAATTTCTCTGCTCTAGAAAGAGCTCTTATACTGATTTTTTTCTTAAAAAAAAAGACATTTTGAAATCAGAAACCTATTTCAAGTAGTTACTTACCATATTAATTTCAGAAATTCTATGATGCCACATGTGACACCATATTATGGTGCCACAACATGATGTGACACATTATGATTGGTGCCACAACATGTTGTGGCACCATAACACGTGTCACATATGGCACCATAGAATTTCTGATATTAATTTGGAGATTCAAACTTCTAATCCATCTCAAACATGTAATTTAGTCTCAACCTGCTGTCTTACTATATGAAAGACAAATATTTTCCAAAGAACTTCCATGCTTATCTTATATTTCTCCTACATAAATCATTTTTTATTTTCATGAATATGTAAGTGATATTTTCAAACTGTGATTATAAAATATCTATTATATCTTTATAATAAGTTAATATGTATATGTGAAATCACAAAAGATATACATCATCAACTCCCATTATTAGATATGCACACAATACATATATTTTTTCTTCTTTATCCTTGTGATCATGTTTTATGTTCTTGGACGATCGTCTCATATTGTTAAAGAAATTTTCTGGTCTTTGTAATTCGAAATTGCAAAAGATCAATTGCATTAAAAGTGATTCACTTAAAATTAGGATTAGTTGTTAAGATACATAGAACAAAAAATCTTTATTTTAGAGTGAGTGTTGGGATAAGTACGTATAACATTTATTTATTTAATTTCCTCTCATCTCACCAAAATAAATAGGGATTTTGTATTTTCGGATCCTTCCTTCTCCAAGTCTCTGCGGTGCTCTCTGTCCCACCTTCATCCCTGTTCGTGGCGAGGTTTGGTTCGCTTAATTCCTTTTTTCATCGCGCTTGGCTTTGATCATGATTTTTGTCAATCTGATTTGTGTGCCCACTTGGTAGAATTAGTAAAGTTTTGATTTTTACTCGGTTTGATTGGTTGCTCGATTGGGTGCCAAACGTGGGTATGAAGCATCGTCCCGATTGGATACTCATTGTTCTTAATTGATTAAAGTGAACGATCGATTTTCGGTCTGATTAGTTTTCATCATCTTGTTTCACTTTAGTTGCCTTGTGAAAATATGTGGCTGATTTTGATAATGGAAGTTCAAATACTGTTGTTACCAGTTGAGTTTTAGTTTTTGATTTGAGATGCGTAATGGGTTTTAGTTTAGGTTCGGATGATCGACATTTATGTGGGTTGATTGAGTATTCTCTGCTAAAACTACTTATTCCTTCTTTTCTATTTACAGAACATTTCCTCTTGGCAAGAAATACCACTACTCTCTTTGCAGTGCCTTTTTCTGGTATATAAATATATGGGCTGAAGTTTTCGTTTCATGGGAGGTGTAGAGGACAATGAGCCACCCACAAAACGTGTGAAAGTGTTCTCTGGAGAATCATCGGAAGGTCCTTCAAACGGGTTGTCCCTTAGAGAACAAGGCAGTTGCTCGTCAAGGCGCTCGATGGCTCGCGTTTTAGCTTCTCAAGACAATGAAGAGGTTGTGGGTCAGAATGGGGTCGTTAGAAAAGTCGAGCTTGTCCGGATTATAGCCGAGGCACTATATTCTCTCGGCTACTCCAAGTCCGGGGCCCGCCTGGAGGAGGAGTCCGGGTTCCCACTGCACTCATCTGCAGTGGAGCTGTTCATGTATCAAGTGCTCGAGGGCCAATGGGATGAAAGTGTCTCCATGTTGCGCGAGATGGGCTTGGCCGATGAGAAGGCTGTTAAGTTAGCTACTTTTCTCATATTCGAGAAGAAATTCTTTGAGCTTCTGGGTGGAGGGAAAACCATGGATGCTTTGAGGATTCTGAGGACTGAGATAGCGTCACTCGGTGTGAACCACGAGAGGGTGAGGGAGCTTGCCTCGTTTGTTTTGTTCCCTCCAGGAAATTTAGTTGATGGAATTAAAGATAAGGAGTCACGTAAAGAGCTGCTGGAGAAATTGCGTGAGATACTTCCGCCAGCATTGATGATCCCGGAGAATAGGTTAGTGCACCTTCTTGAACAGGCTCTCGTCTTGCAGAAGGGTGCTTGCAGGTTTCACAATTCTTCGGTCGGGAAAATGTCGTTGCTGGCTGATCACAAGTGTGGAAGGGACCACATTCCTTCCCAGACATTGCAGGTTCTGCTAGTTTATTATTCTTTGTGTTTTATTGATAATATAGTGAGAACTATGTGTTGGTAGTATCATTGTGATTTTTTATTTATTTTTTTTTTTCCATCAATGACCTGAATTGATTAGTAGAATTCATCAGCAATTAAAAGGAGAAAAAAATAGGTTGAAGAAGGAGATGAAACAAAATATTATTGTAACATATGGAAAGAGAAATGTTTCTGCTAGTGATTGCAAAGTTATGTTTTTTCTAGTAATATCTGGTCATGATCAGCTTTTCGAGTGTTCATTTCCTAGAGAAAGTTTAGTCCATGGTTGTAATATCTCTGTTTTGGGTGGTGGGGTTAGCTATTGAGGTGGTGAGTAATATATGATTGTATTCTTATAGCCAAGCAAACATTGCAAACACATCACCTATTTCTTTCACACATCCGCTTAACTTGCTTCTGTAGATATTTTGAATTAATTGGTGTGCCATGGTTAAATATACAGGGAGTTGCTAAGTGAGCCATACCATCGGTATTTATGATAATGTTCTCAAACTGACTGCATTTATTTAGAATATAGAATAGAGACGGAGAACAACTTATCAAAAGTAGTAATGTGTTCAATATTATTGAGAAATATATAAAAATATAGGAGCATCTTTCGGTAACTGTACAATCTGCAGAAATGTGATCTGCACCCGTTGATCGAAGCTTTTCTCCTCTTCTTTTTCTGTCTATGCTTTTGTGATGCTCATGTATGATAGACTAAACTGATGGTTCTTTTCCAAAACAAGGCTTATAAATTTGCAACAAAAAAAAAGGCTTATAATCAGTTCGAACCTTCCAGGTATTGGAAAAAAAAAGTTCTATTATGTTGTTGATATAATCTTGTTTAAGAGAAATCAACAAACTTCTTGGGACATATGACTCTTGATAAATCATCAGAATATCCTGTATTGTAACATCCTCAAGAGCTGCCATTTTCTCAAAGTTACTGTTGATCTATATGGTTGTTGTTTGGTCCCTCCAGATATTAAAAGAACACAGCAATGAAGTCTGGTTCCTGCAATTTTCTCACGATGGGAAATACTTGGCCTCGTCATCTGGTGACGGTCTTGTCATTATATGGGAGGTAACGCTGCCTCGTCTTTTTTTTTTCCCCTTTATTAATTACATTAGGTTTTCACCTATTTGTTGAACGTTGATGTGCTGTTTGGTGTCTTGTTTGATTTTATATCTTAGGTCTGAATGGAAAGCTTTTCTTTGTAATTGTAAATGATGAATTTATTCTGCAGTGTGTGAGTTTTTTCCGTTTATGATTCTTTTTTTTTCAGGTCTCGGTCGATGGCCGTGTTTTTCTGAAATACCAATTTTCCGGCCACCAGAAACCTGTCTCATATATTTCATGGAGTCCCGATAAATATCAACTTCTTCTCACTTGTGGATTAGAAGAGACTATTAAAATGTGGGATGTGACCTCGGGAGAGTGCCTGCGTACGTATCAAAAGAATGGACTGGGTATGGTCTCCTGCGCGTGGGCCCCACACTCGAAAAGCATATTTTCAGGTGCAACTGATAAGAGCATCATCATGTGGGACCTCGAGGGGAATGAGCTGGATTGCTGGAAAGGGCAGAGGACTACCAAGATCTCGGATTTGGGCGTGATTATGGAGGGGAAAGTGTTCGTGACTGTTTGTAAAGAAAACGCGATTTTGCTGTTTGAATGGGAAACAAAAACCGAGAGATTTATCGAGGAGGATCAGCCGATAATTTCCTTTTCGCTTTCGGAAGACAACAAGTTTTTGCTCGTCAGCCTTTTAAATGAAGAGCTTCACGTTTGGAGTGTCGATGGGGCCACTGAGCTGGTGGCTAAATACAGAGGTCACAAACGTGCACGTTTTGTCGTGAGGTCGTGTTTTGGCGGGTTAGATGAAGCGTTTATCGCCAGTGGAAGTGAGGACTCTCAGGTAATGAACTAATTCCCCAGAAAGTCGTGTTTTTCAATATGCGCCTTGGTTTGATTTTTTTCTTGACTATTCAATTTAAAACGAAGGCTCGGGCGTTTTTGCTGCACAAAAATGGTAATAACCGAGATGCTATTTGTAGGTATGTATATGGCACAGGTTATCTGGTGAGCTCATTCTAAAGTTGGCTGGGCACTCGGGAGCAGTGAACTGCGTTAGCTGGAATCCGACTAACCCTCATATGCTGGCTTCGGCAAGTGATGACCGTACGATACGTATTTGGGGATTAAATCAGGTGAATATGAATTACAACGGGACGAATAGCAACGGGGTCCACCATTGCAATGGTGAGGCTTGAACTAGCGAAGAAAAAATCACCAACATTGCTGCTGATCATCTTGTTTCGATTTCTTTTTTTTTTCAATGTAAATTCTATTCTCACTGAAAATTTGTTCATTTCCAGACATTTTTATAGGACCACGCGATGTTGAACTTAACTTTGCTCGAGTTTAATAATTTTCATGTGAAACTTTTTTTTCAGCATTTGTGATATTTTTATTTGGTTTATCTTGTGAAATTTAGGCTTTTATTTTGTGTTGCGATGTTTTTAGAGGAGGAAATCTTGAATTTGACAAGTTTTAATTGGATATATCATATATGCAACAATAAAATCATAAGAGCATCTCCAATGGTACATGGATTGCTCTAATTTATTGCCACATAGCCTGAAAAATTTTATGTGGCGTTTCAAAATTGTAGAAGTCTTTCTAAATGCAGAAAGACTTCTAGACATCTTCTACCCTATATTATATTATTTATTTTACATTTCTCTCTCCATCAACCAATTATTATTTTACACGTGTCAAATTATTCCACAACTGACGTTAACCATTGAAGACAAAATATTTTTATTCTCTTTCTCCACACCTTTCATCTCAAAATAGATGCTCAACCATTGGAGATGCTCTAAATCCTACTTTATATGGACCCATTAACTAGCACATTAAAAGTATATGTGCCAAACAAATTTTTTAGATAAGAAGTTTGGCCACAATATTTTTCGAGGGATTTTGTTTACGTTTTAGGTTGAAGAAACATAACATGAAACATTGTGTAATATATA